GGGGGGGGGGGGACCCCCAGAAACCCGGGTTAGACCGTACACACGGGCACCCCTGCCTCCTCATACAGAGCTGACTTTAACAACCACGGCTGTTGTTCTGTTTGTGTGTGTGGCAACTTGGGAAGTTCACGTTTTTGTGTCACACCCAGTTGGTGCGGGGCAGCAGAGAGGGGGGAGAGGACCCCCCCATCCTGCTCTCTCCTTCAAAACAACCTCAGCTGCTCCACTTCAGTCCTCGGACTCAGTCTTTTATATCTGTTGTTAAAAAAAAAGAAGAAGAAGCTTCTTTGTAAAACGAACTTTACTCCGGGTTGAAGGGACACCACCACCACCATCACACAGTCTGGGTTATGTTTCTGTTTCACAGATCAATTATTGTGAACATCAAACTGGATTTTATTCATTAAATCTGTCGTAGGTGTCAGAATGAATGACCACACAGGCCAGGTTAGTTATTCATCTGTTTAAACATGGTGGAAAGTGATAAAAGAATAGTTTTCAGTCTGTTTGTTTTGGGGTGTTGGCCTTTACAAGCTGAGGAACCTGAGAGGCAACCAGCAGCATCCCCCTCCTATCTGCGTGCGTGTGTGTGCATGAGAGAGAAGAGGAGGGGATACTGGTCCCAGTGATGACACTCGTTATTATCTGCTGTATGAAATGAGCTGAGATTTGCGTGCTCAGCCCCCAGATGTATCAGGACCACATGCTGCTGCGGACAAACTTTAAACCTGCGTTAACGTCATAAAGATTGTGAAATGAGCTCCGTCACATGACTTGTCAGTGTGTACAGGAGGTGGCGTTCAGAGGGATTTGCTCCAGAGCTTCCAAAACATAAAGTGTGAAGGCAGTTTGTCTCCGGACTGTGGATGTTGTTGAGTTTTTGGTGAAAAGGTGTTTGCAAGTCTTTCAAATGTTTAACGGGAGTTTGGACTTCGTTTTTTTTGTTAAAAAGAAACGTTTCGCCCCTCATCCAAGAGGCTTCGTCAGTCTGAGGCCTAGCCATCTGGTATTACCCAGAAGCCACCCTGACTCTTGTGTTTCAAGCCTGCCTCAGATACCCCTGAAGTCTGGCCTTTTCACTAATGG